ATTCACATTCCAGGGCCTAAATATCACGTTATTGGGGTCGCTTCAACCTGCTGACATAAAAAACAATCGGTGGCAATCGCAGATTTGGCAACACATCTCTCTTTGGCTGTAGGTCATCGCCGATGTGCTTTTCAGTCAGAAATCATTGCACACTGCGTGATTGTGAATCGCCGACAGCTCCAGATATTTAGCATGCCAAATATTTTGCGGGCGTCGGCGACGTGTTGGCGATACCCTCAGATCGCGTCTTTGATAATTCACACTGCACGATTGTCACTCCCGTGAACGAGCACCGATTTGCCTCCGATGTCGGGCATTTGTCGGTCGATTTCACAAAACCTGTCGGCGAGTGAAAAATCGGGCCAATATCGTGCAGTGTGAACTCGGCATAACCGAACGTCTACCGAACATCTTGAGCTTTGAGCGTCTTACACTGCGGGTGACAGAGAAAAGCTATGAACTGAAGAGAATAGACTATTGGAAATAATTTAATACACATTCATGGAAAAATATATTAAAACTAAATCAGTGATTCTGATAGCGTTTAGGCCAGCAGAGAAGGCTTTGCTGGCCCTGACGGCCCACCACTGGGTGAATGCTGTTTTGCATGTTTTTTTTTGTCTTTGAGTGGTTGTCTTGCTCCTGATGTTGGCAGAGACCGTATTTGTATCAGTATCATTAAAAAGTCAGTAGACCGTATCAGTAATACTGCAGCAGATGTTTTCACTCATCTCCATTTGATTTGAGTGAATTAGTCCCTTTTTGAGCCAAATGAGGTTGTGACAAAGCAGCTTATTCATCTTAGTGCTTCTCAGTTTCATTGCATCCTCGTGTCGTTGATGTCTTTCCATACCATGTGGGATTAAACGACGTTCCTGTCCTCTTTAATGAGATCGGCAGCAGTGGTCAGTTTTAGTGCTTTTTTTTGGTATTATTGTTTTTTTTTTTATTATTATTTTGGTTTAGTGGATATATAATGGTACACATGAGTATTATCAAAAAACAAATACACAAAACATTTACATGTTTTTTACCATTAGTTGAGATGGACATTTTATTGAGGCTTAGTGCTGAACAACAGAAACTACACAATTACAAATCCGCTGCTAGCAGTTTATGTCCACTCTTTTTTTTACGTTGAAGACTAAATGTTCTGCACATAATTGGACATTAATAGTCATTTCTTTCAGGTGAAATTGCCATTTTTCTGCTGTTTTATACCAAAATAAAGAGAAATTGGTGTCTGAATGCAGTGTAATTCTCAAAGACCCCTTTGCTAGTCACAGAATTCAGTAAACAGCTAGGTTTATGGGTAAGAAAAAGACCAGAATTGTGCTCATAACAGACATGAATGATGTCATAATAATAATAATAATAATAATAATAGCTTTTTTGACTTTTTAGACTTCTTGTGACCAAATGATTTCAAAATATTTTTGCCATTTAATTTTTTTTATTTTTTGTGTTTGTTTTGTGGGCTCATAACAGAAATTACTAATGTTATTAATTAATTACTGAGAAATTACTAATGTAACAATCATACCTGCATAGCGTAAGACTATTGTCCATTTTTAGAGTCATACTATGTCAAAAACATAGTTTTACAGCTAGAATGCACCTTGTTTTGTGTTCCTGTACAGGTATGTGTGTGTATCTGTAAATAGGTTTTGCTTATATTGTGGAGCCTACAGTAAATGTCACCATAAGGATAGTAAAACCTCACATTACCTCCAGCCAACAGCCTTCATGAGGTAAATGGCTTATTAACATAGAAAATAATGTCTTAATGCAGAAAGGCTCATGTGAGGGTTTGTTTAGGAGCTAGAAATAGAATACCTTTAGCACAATGTAATATCAGCATAACTGATAATAATGGAATGGAAAGTGCCCACCGTGGTAAAAAACACAGACGTGCGTGTGTGCATGTCGACCCATGAGCGCACACTCCATTTTTAGTGCTGACCAATTACAAAATGAAGTTGTATTAGAGCAGCATATGGAGTCAAGCAGGGCTTAGTGAACAGCTGGTGTGTGTTTGTGTGAGAGGTCAGTTCTAAAGAGTTATACACACATACATACATTGTACGCAATATTATGTAAATGCCCGGTTACACACTTCAGAAATCACTTGGCGTATTAGACCCTCACCTGTGTCGTCAAATGCCTCTACAGCTGATATTAACTCCCTTTACACAACACCCAGATTAACACAGACCCACTGAGCCACACTGTACAGAGTCACACAGACTCACACTCACATTACCGCTTGCTCAGATCCTTCAATGATCCCAGAGTGCCCGCACACAAAGGCTGAAATAAGCAGTGCAGGAGCCGCATGTTTATTAATGGAGGAGATCTCTTTCATCAAGACTTATACACTCTCAGATTTTGCTTTCCATTAAGAGTAAATTGCAGAGCGTTTATTTGGCACTCGACTCCTGCGCCTTTCATTATTTGATACTCTTCCCAACACAATTGCTTTTTCTCAGCCAAAAATTACTCTTTCTTTGTCTCTCACACCTTTTCAGTAAACTATTTTCTCTTTCTTTCTCTCCTTTTCCCCTTCAGGCAGAGTCCAAATTAACTTTTTTTCACACCTGCCAAAGCAAGTGAATTGAGAACATTTGCCAGCCATGAAGCAGTTTATACAGATTTTTTTCCAGGATATATTAGGATATATATGTTTTGTTTTTTCAGGATCTTTTGATGAATAGAAAATTTGAAAGAACAAAGAAATCATAAAGAATCTTTGAGAAGAAATGTCTTTACTGTCACTTTTGGGTAATTGAATTGGTCCTTTCTGAATATAAATATGAATATTCTTTAAATATATAATAGATATAATCATTTATTATGTAATAATTAATTGTTTTATTGTTTAATTACTATATTTATAATTTATTATTTTATATTTATTTTCATTTGCTATGACACTGGCAAATATTTTGTTATCTACTCACCAAAGCCATATTTTAAATTGCATTTGGCACTTGGTTTGGACCTGGGTCTCAGGTATAAATCATATTCCCTTGTGTTTTCATCTTTGTGTGCTTGAAGTCGTGTGGGTAGCCAATAACACAAGTCTTTAATTTTTATGTGTGTT